TAAACTTGAAATTACAGACTCACCGCAGGACTATAAGCTAGTATCTTTAGTGATTGTTGAAATTCAGTTTATTCAGCCCAATTGAAAAGAGAGTTGTGAGACAGCAGAACATTCTGACAACTGCCCATATTGTCTATCCTCCATATTTCACAATATCCACCATGATGAAAAAATAATGCAGTTTGGATACAGCAGTTGGAGAAAGGATTTAAAGATTGGAGTGAATTCATTTCAAAGCTCATTTCTGCTGAATAAAAGGTAATAAATGGGCCAGGTAATTTACCTGTGCCTGACAAAATAGCCATTTTTATTTTTTAGCTCCTTACCCTTGGCAACTCAAACAAGAGAGAAGAGGTACTGCACTTTCTTGAAAACTAGAGAGGTCACCAAAAGATCATCTGCATGTTATAACAACACAGAGACACAAGACAATGGAAAATAGCAATGTCCCAACGAAGTTTTGCAATATTCCTAAAAGGACAGATTTCTGAGAACAAGAAAAATTGGGTCAACAATGTTTCATGAATATCTTGCATCAGACCACCAATTAGGGTCTCTCTCTCTCTCTCTCTCTCTCTCTCTCTGTGTGTGTGTGTGTGTGTGGAGTATGTGTGGAGTATTGGAAAGATTTGATGCAGGAACAACTATACTTTATTCATTGTTTACTGAGGAACAGAACAAGAGATCAAATTTCTTCCATTTGTTTTATTTGAGGGATCCAGAGAAAATCCAGTTAATCCAGGACTCCAGTCTGGATGTGTCTATCAATTCTGTGGATAATGTGGACCCACAATTATAAATAGCTCATAGCTTTGCCCATAGCTTTTCAAGCCCAAACTGCAAAGGGGGATAAGAGGCAGATGAAGCAATGACAGTTGAATAGAAAATTAGAAGCCAGTTACAATGTGGCTAGGGCAAGACTGCGTTCATTATTATTGTAAGCATCTAAAAAGACCCCTTCAGGGATACAATCAAGTGAAATTCAGCTTGAAAAATAGGTCGCTTGCCAAAAGTAAGTCTCCCCAAGAAAGAAATAAAATGAATGATGACAATAAGCAGTTCCTGAGTTTCCCAGTGCAGAACTGAGTTCTTACATTCTCATTGCAAAATAGTGAGCATTGGTCAAAGAAAAGTTGGGAAGTTTGTCAGTGAAGATTCTCAGTTATCCAGATAAAGTTATCTGGAAGTTGAGTTATGGCAACTGGCCTTCTATTCTTTTCCGGTTTGAAACATTTTACTGTTTATCCAAGTCAGATTAGCTGCAATATCATCCAGAAAGGATTCAAAGTGATAGCCAACCTCTTGGTATGAGATTTAGAATCTTAAGAAATTAAAAGGCTAAAGTTAAAAGGGCTCCCAAATCAACTCTAATATGAAGGTAAATGTGGAAACAGGCTAATTCTGAAGCTGAGCATGCACTGAATCTGTTGACATTGTTATATAGCAGAACCACTTGGCACTTGTTCTAATTTAGGATCCTGGTTTTTCCATGGCTCATATTTCCCACATTTGTAGACAAATGATGCAAATTTACACCATGACTATTGTTGCTTGTTGCTATTTTCCCAACCTGATCTTTGTTGCTCCTGCCACTGGAGGTCATTTTCAGCAATACATTCTGCCACCATAATTCTACTTTCATGCAGTTTTGCAAAATTAAAAAAGGCATTCTGAGATTGCTGTAAAAAGTGGTGAATGGCTGCTAACAGCTCTGCTATTGGTTTTGTAACTTTCCTACCGGGGACAGTTTCAATTGCTTGCTAACATCAAGCAACATTTTATTTAATAGTATGTTAGCAATTACAGCAGCATTACTTGCTATGGCCCCAGTGTGTCTGAATATTTAATTGACATTTGTACAAACCTCTCATAACAGTCCACAATAGTCCATCAGACCATTAAAACACAATGCTATCCAAATTAGAGTTTACAAATTGAATCCAATGCTATCTAAATTACTCATCAATGAATAAGCAGATAAGGTCTTGCGTTGTATCAAAATGCAGGATGTCTTCCACTTGCAACCACAATTGAGTCCAAAATTTCTGTTGTTAAGCAAGGCATGAGTTTTAACCCATTTTACAACTTTTCTTGCCACCGTTGTTAAATAAATCATTGAAGTTGATAACTTAGTAATCCGGTTATTAAGTGAATCTAGCTTCCCCATTGATTTTGCTTGTCAAAAGGTTCCAAAAGGTAATCACATGGCCTTGGGATATAGGAACAGTCGTAAGTATGAAGCAATTGTCAAGCTTCTGAATTTTGATCACATGATCGTGGGGCTGCTACAAAGGTCATAAGTGTGAAAAATGGCCATGTCACTTTTTTCAGTGCCATTATAACTTTGAATAGTCACTAAATGAATTGTTGTGTTGAGGACTACCTGCATATCAATTTCTTTGCACTATTTCTTTGACTAACCAGTTTTGCCATGCTTTTTGTGATATATTCAGTGTAAACCTGTTCTGCTGCAATGTGAATCTTTTTTACTTACTTCATAAAGCATGTATTTTAAATCCCTTTTACCTCTGCTCAACAAATATCCTTGAGCATCAACATATGGAACAGAAAGAAATCTCTCTTAGGGTGCGGTCTTTTTAATATATCTAATCAAGTGTAAAAGAATAAACAGTCCCAGAATTACATTGCAAAATACCAATTCTTTATTATCAGCACCTGATTGCGTGCACAGCAAACAGCAACACCACTTGGAAATTGCAATCAAAATATGATGGGGAAAACAAATTGCATGGATTGCAAAGTCAATGAATCACAACAGATTTATTGTGTGGCACTTCCAGTCCTTTTTGCAAGAAGATGCCAAGAATATAGGAGAGCCTTCCTAGCACAAGAGCATCATGATTTTAGTGAGGGCGGGGTGTCTCTCCCCTCAAGGAGGATTGGAAATTCCTTTGTTTTCCTTTTCTGGTTTGACAAGATGATAGTAAATCCAGAAGGGCCAGGCAATGGATAGCAAACATTACTAGTGCTTCCCAGAGAGACTGATTCTAAATAAGAATTTAAGAAAAATACTGCTTTAGTGCTCAAGGAATAATAGCAGATCACTCTAAACTTGAGAGCAAGTCTCTTCAGTTTTAGAAAAAATAAGCCGATCTATAAACATTATTTTTACTTAATTCCCATCACTGTCCTTTCCTCGGCTAGGCATACACTTCCACCAAAGTTGATTCTATTTCCATCTCTTCTTCACCTACACCAACATTTTCAAAAAAAAATTTCAATTGTTCAATACACTAACAATTCAAAAAAACAAACCCAAAACCTCCTGTTTGTTTTTTATTCCCCACCCCCCCCAACACACACACACACACACACACACACACACACACATCCCTTTTCATGAAGGAATTACAAGTAGAAGCCTTTTAATGGCAATTAGTCACTAAACTGGCCAATGTTCTCAACTGTGGAATCTGTGGAAAAAATCTGTGGAATACAAGCTTTCTCCATTCTCAGCCATTGGGGAAGATTAGAGGTACAGCAGCTGGGGAGAATTGTTGCCTTGCCCGACAACCTGCAGAATAAGAATGATTTCTTTGGATTTGCCCTGCAGTACTGCAGAGCTCACTCTGGTAATACCAGCAGAGGAGAGGAGAAAGAATATGTATTTATCTATGTTATTTTATATCCTAGAATATAAAGTGAGAGCAAACCTCACTCCTTACTAGCACTGATGATGTTACCTAGTTTGGATAAGGAAATGTCTGCAAGGAAACAACCAAGCTCAGAGAGCACCAAGGACCTTTCATTTCAATCTTGAGCTACAAATATTCTCCTTTATTGGATTTTATATCCTTCATTATTTGTATAAACAATTCAAAGTGATGAATGTATCTATTCTGACTTGTGTCATACGTGAAGGCATATGCCTAATTTTGTATTTATTTATTCTGTCATGGTTATGTAGTGTATTTTGGAGGTGGTGACCAGTGGTGGGATTCAAATATTTTGACGATCGGTTCTGTGGGCATGGCTTGGTGGGCGTGGCAAGGGAAGGATACTGTAAAATCTCCAGTCAGAGGTGGTTGTTTGCCGATTCTCCAAACTATTCAAAATTTCTACTACCGGTTCTCCAGAACTGGTCAGAACCTTCTGAATACCACCTCTGGTGGTGACCCTTTGGGAGCTGTATGCAATGTAATTTCATTTTTAGTGTACATCAGTCTACATTCAAAGTGATAATAAAGTTATTCTATTCTCTCTTCTCTTCCCTTCTCCTTCCTCTTTTCCCCACAACTTCAACTTTGCGAGGTGAGTTGGGCTGAAAGGGACTGGCCCAAAGTCAGAGTTAACAGCCTCACCTCAGGGCCGCTGGTCCTTTGTTCCCAACCTCCACTATTCACCCGCAAGAGTTAACCCGGCTAGAAGCGAGTAAAATACATGCTGCTGGCTCTGTTCTGAAGAAGTTTGACCTCACGCTAGTGACACGAGCTCGCAGAATCTTGAATCCCAACAGGGACAGTCCCGCAAAAGGATACTGGCGGTGGCAAGATTGTTTGGCTCCCTCCCTCGCCTTTCCGAGAACAGGCATTGGGGATTAAAGAATGCTCACAAACTTAATCCCGGTTATCGCCCCCCATATCTAAATGCCGGAAAGTAAGTCCTTGCGTTTTCAAGAAAGGTTCACTGCGACAAAACAAATCCTCTTTCAAAACGAACAATAATGCCCCTCCCACCTCTTCTCCCCCACCCCTTTCTTTGGTTTCGGATAGCTGCTGCCAGAAAAAGTTGCCCGAGACTCAGGGAAGCCTGCAGCTCTTCGCCGTCTTTCATCTTGGAGGTCCTGGGAAGATAAACCTCGGGAGGATTGCGCAAACTCATCAAGTTGAGCAACCGCTAACCCAACTCAAAAATTACGCAACGACTCCTCCGAAAGCCTGAGAGGAATACAAATCCCAGCATGCCGAGCGGATTCCTCGATCGCTATTGGTCGCCGGTTCCCCTCCTCCCCCTCGGCACACGTGACTCCAGCCGGCTACATCTGTTCTGGCCCGTGTCGGAGAGGTTGTGGGAAAAGTGACTTAGCTTAAGGCGAGAGGAATGGCGTTCGTGTCAGCTCTCAGGGTATCTCAGAGCGGGCGCCGGGGTTTTCTCCTGCGAGGGGCCTTCCGAGACCACCTGAACAGGAGCTGTCGGTCCGGGACATCTATGAGACAGAAGCAGCAGCAGCAGCAGCAACACGCGCTGGAATTGACCTCTGAACAGGTGAGGCGGGCGAGCAGAGAAGACGAAGGACTTCGCCTGCACATAGTCTGGAGGCGCTGCCCTCCTCGCAGTCTGATGAAAGTCTGACTGAGTCGCTGATCGCGCCTCTTAGAAATACTTTGGGCCCTTAAAGGGGGCAAATCACCTAAACCTGGGACAGAGTCCTTTACAACAGTGGCATATCCCGAAAGTGCATCATCTGGAGAGCAACTTGATTGGATTCCCAAAAATGTACCTGGCTGCAAAGTGGGTTTGTTGCTCCCTAGATTGTATGAACGAGGGCTATATCTGTGCTCCAAAAACTGCATTAGATAGCAGCTGAGAGATAAGAGAAGCTGTAAACTCTTTACAGCCCAGGCACAGGGTGAACCAGTGTAACTGTCATTATTCAAGAAAGGAAAGTTAAGCAAAAGGCAGCATAATGTTATGTGAATATGTTACATTATTAAACTTGCAGGTGGCCTGACTCTCAACTCTGGACAGCTCACAACAATCAAGCTCATTGCAATATCAATAAAAAGCATCAAATAAACCAATGGCAAGCTTGATGAAGCAAGAGATCTCATTCTCCCTTGCTGAAGGCCTGCGAGAAGAGCCAGGTTTTTGCTGCTTTTGAGGGGAACCTTATTTTCAAGAAGGTGTGCTTCTGGGGTCCCAAAAGTTGACAGTATTTAATCAAAGGAACTCTGAATGTATCAGGCTCAGGAATTCTGGGAGTTGAAGTCCACAAATCTTAAACTTGCCAAATTTGAAGACCCTTGTCGTATGCCATGTCTCCCAGAATATATCATGCCTTTCACCTAAGAAACATTAATGGGTGGATTAAAGTACTTTCTGATGAGAAAAAAACTATTTCATATGCCTAGGAGTGCTTTCTTTGTCTATATAAGATAAGTATTGGCACTTGGAATGAATTAGGAATTAAAATTCCTGAGAATTTGCAGGTGGCATTCCAGGTAATGGAAGAATTTGAAAATTATCAAAAGCAAGTGCTTACATGATATCCTTACTTAGCATTTAATCCAAAAGTTCTGTATAGAACATTCCTTGAAGCTAGGGCTGCCACTCTGTATACGTTAACATTTAGAAAACATCTGAAACAAAAAATTACCCTTTGCCAATGCAGTTTATATCACTCTTGGGTTTAAAACTAATTACATTCCCTTTGCAATTCTCATAATTGTCAACCAGTTGAAGTTGGATAAGAATTGAAACCAAATACTTCTCAAATTGAAAAAGGCTGCTCAGAATAGCATATTTAGCTATTTGTACCAAGACAAATTTCTTGTGTGTCCAATCTCACTTGGCCAAAAAAGAATTCTATTCTATTGAAATTATATTAAAAATCATTTTGCAGGTTTAGTTACTTGATTTTTTTTTCTTGATCTTCTTTGACGGTAATCACAGATAAAGTTTTGGGTTGATGTGATTAATGTGCTGGAATGAACTGGATGGACTGTTTGTGTTTTTTGACGTTGGTGTTAAGTTGTTGTATTATCAACTTCTCATATTTTGGTCTGAAGGTAAGATGGTATCTCTTTGATACCTCTCCAAATCTTTCACTGAATCATTCAGGGTGGAGTTGTGTATATGTTTTCTTTCAACAGATTGGAAGTTTGGATTTCAGCTCTTATGTCCAAATAAAATAAAATCAACTTTGTAAGGTTAAATAAAGACAAAATAATTTAAATTCTTTAGCTACATATTTCAATATGTGAGGCTTTCTTGTTGGACTTTTTAAAAAAATAATTGTTACATTAAAGGCTAGGAATGTAGAAATTGTAACCTTAGTCCCACATGTGGACTAAGTTAGTTTTGCCTTCAGTTCCATACAATACTATAATGTAGTTTTCCCATTGCAGTTTTGAAGCAGCCTTAGAGGGCCTGGGGCTCTGTAACTAGCACCAGGTTTCAGTTTAAATGCTCCCTGTTTCATTCAGACAAAATAAACAAGCCAAAACCAGTAATTCCCTTGAGGAAATGAAAAGCCTGCTTCCCACATACCCCAACTGGGCATTTTCCCTTCATTTCTTACAAAAGAAAAAAGATCTTTAAGTAGTCTTCTGAATGAGCAGGGGTAGGACTAGGTGACCTCCAGGGTCCCTTCCAACTCTGTTACTGTTACCACTAGTTCTCATTTAGTGGCCATAATCAAGATCGGTAACTCAGTTGTTCAGCAAAGCAGTCACTAAGTGTGGTGGTGCTCATGATCTTCAGCTTACTTTTGCTTTACAGACTTGCAAAGGTTGTAAATGCAAGGGTTGGTTATACAGTTACTTTTTCAGATGTGGAAAGACCTGGCCCATAGACTCATCAAGAGTCAGACACGATTGAATGGATATCATCATCATCATCATCATCATCATCATCATGATGTTGCTAAAAAGACTACTACCTATATTTTTTAAAAAATAGGATCAGTGGTTCTTTGTTTAGTAGACAAACCCATCTTTGCATAGTTCAGCTACTAACATACTTTCAGGTGCTACTATAAGTTAAGGATGTGAACAAGTATTTAGAGGAAATGCAAGTTAAGTATTTAGCGTGGCTGAAGTTTAAAACATACAGGCTGATGCAAAATAACTTTCTTACATTAATGTGAAAAATGTGGGAAATCAGATGAGTTGAATTTGAATTTCTGGTACAGGAGTGTCAATTTCATAGGTGTAATTGAAGTTTGATGAAATGGTTCTCATGAGATGCAGTGATGATGGAACGCTAGATAGAACTTATTCAGAAAAGAATTCATGCATTATATGTGAAAATCAAAATAGAAATATACATGGATATATTTTACAGATTGAGCTAATGATAGTCTCTCACAACATGCTTAGCCATAATGTGGGTTTGCTGATTTCTGAGTTAGGGGTTTGTGAGAATGAGGGCAATATGTGGGTTCCAAAAATGCAGAAAAGCATTAGATGGCAACAAAGAGATAAAGGAAACTTTAAACTCTTCATTAGCTCTCCCAGTGGCTTGCATTAAGTAGGAGTTCTGTTAAATGTCCTTCCCAGTAGAGCAAACCTGCATGCAACAAAAATTGCATTCATATTTGGAAAAATATCGGGTCATTCTCTCATCCTTTATGAAACCAATACTATGTCAGTATAATGAAGCCTGACAAGTTTGTTTCTCAAAACTTCCTTTTCTTTGAAGAATAGACTGCAGCTATAACTGTAAAACTATTCTCAGAGTTTCACAAATATAATTGTCTATTCGGAGCAAGGTTGGAAAACCTAAAGCAATTTGGCCTGAAACTGTGCTCTCTAGATGTATTAGTATACGAACTCTAAATCTGCAGCTAGCATGGTCTATGGATTAAAGGTGGAAATGCAGAACAGAGAGTGAGAAATACTTTAATTTCCTGCCTTTGTCCAAGGACTCTGGCTGACCAGTATTGGTTTTGCAGTGATTTGGGGGCCTTAAGGAACCTTCAGAATTTGTCTGAAGCTGCTCATGAATTTTGGTTTTTAATGCGACAGAATAGAACAATTAATTAAATGAGGATGATCAAATTAGCTGTACTACAACTGAACTTAAATTCAGTTTTCTTTCCTGGTTCTGCGCTACACAGCTTTTAAGAATGCAAGCATCTGAATGCCATTCAAATATCAAATATGGCTGCTTGTCTGATTTACTGGTTTCTGAGGCTAGAAGATCTTCAAGAGGTGCGACAACATAACTGTACTCATCTGTATAGTAATGGAAGTTGTAAGTCTTCCTGAATTATACACTTAAGTGAATTAATTTTAAAATTGTATTTGTGAGGAATAAATACAGTGCTACACTTAAATCTTGATGGAAATTCTTCCTAAGATTTGGCTGGGCTGGGGAGAGGTCAGAGGAATGATTCTCATATGAAATCTCATATTGATTGGAGTGGAACATATCAGGGTAGAACATTATTCTAAATATACCAGTTTCCGCTGAATAAACAATTCCAGGGATGGCTGATTCTGTTTGGTATAGTTAGATAGCTCAACCTACTCCCTCCCTCCATACATGAGCCAGTTTGGTCTAATATTTCAAGGAATCAGGCTTGAATCTGGGAGATTGTAAATTCTAATCCCTCCTTCACCATGAAAGCCAGTTGGGTGATCTTGGACAAATCACACTCTCTCAACCATAAGGTTGTTGTGGGGAAAATAGGAGGAAGATGTATTGGATATGTTCACCTTGAGTTGTTTGTAAAACTAATAAAGGCAAGATTGAAATAAATAAATACACATAATACCTGTTCATATCACTTGTTAGAAGCCATCATGAATTTAAGAGTGCTTTGAATTAACAGTTGTATATTATAGGTATATTTAATTATTTTACTTTAGAGTGAAACAATTACTTTTACACACACACACACAATTTGATTATTTTTCTCTCTGGGTGTTCATATGCATTTAGTGCTGGTGAATAGATGAAGTTACTCAGTGGTCTAGAACAGACTATAGTGCAGTAGAAAGTTATCTCAAGCTTTTTACATTTGTTTTTGGAAAATGCTGCAGTAATAGCTGCCAACAGATCAAATATTTGACTTTCTCTTCTGTGTTTTTAAAAATACTGTTTACTGGGGTAAAGACCAATATGCTTCTGACATGAGCAGTTCAATGTGAACTTTTTAATATTAGCATTTCGCTTCTGTGTCTTCTATTTCTGATGTATTTTGTTTTGACCCTCGATACATGGTAGGCAACATTCTTTTGGAAATAATGTCAGAATTGCTTTCTCAACAATTGTTGCATGTTTGTATATTTGACTATATTTGTTGCATATAGTCAGTTGAGATGATGTAACTTGGCAGGACAGTGAAATGGAGCTTCAAGAAAACTTAACTAAAACCCAAGAAGCTTCCCAGTAAGCACAAAATATTTATATATAGTGAATGGGGAAGGGTACCCATTGAAGCATTGATCTGCTAAATTGCAAATGGGATTTATTTTTAAATCCAAAAGCTTAATTTGCACAGGAGAAAACCCTACTTTACTGATAACAATGAACACCCATTGTGTAAAGAAGTAGCAAAAATATTTGTCAAATAACAAAATAACAGAGTTGGAAGGAACCTTGGAGGTTTTCTAGTCCAACCCCCCCCCCCCCCCCCAGGTCAAGGAAGAAACCATATACCATTTCAAACAACCGGTTCTCCAGTCTTTTCTTAAAAACTTCCCGTGTTGGAGGATTTACAACTTCTGGAGGCAAGTTGTTCCACTAATTAATTGTTCCAACTGTCAGGAAATTTCTCCTTAGTTCTAGGTTGCTTCTCTCCTTGATTAGTTTCCATCCATTGCTGCTTGTCCTGCCCTCAGGTGCTTTGGAGACTAGCTTGACTCCATCTTCTTTGTGGCAGCCCCTGAGATATTAGAACACTGCTATCATGTCACCCCTAGTCCTTCTTTTCATTAAACTAGACATATCCAATTTATGCAACCATTCTTCGTATATTTTAGCCTCCAGGCCCCTAATCATCTTTGTAGCTTTTCTTCTCACTCTTTCTAGAGTCTCAACACCGTTTTTATATCTTGGCAACCAAAATTCCAAGTGTGGTTTTACCAAGGCATTACATATGATTAATATTTCTAATGGCCTTAATAATAATCTTGATAATAAATAATAAAATCCATTACTGTGTTATCCATTAACTTTATCCCTAAATGTAATAAAGATATAAAATATTTCATAACTCCAGCAAAGTTCTTCCTTAAAAAAAGAATGCCTGAGAACAGAGAGTGATCTACTCTAATTACCCTTGATAAGGCATTCCAAAGAATTGGAGCAACTGGTAACAAGTTCCTGCCCTGCATTTTTACCAGATATACCTCCTAAAGATTTTAATACCTACAGGTGAAACTCGAAAAATTAGAATATCGTGCAAAAGTTCATTTAGTTCAGTAATGCAACTTAAAAGGTGAACCTAATATATGAGATAGACTCATTACATGCAAAGCAAGATAGTTCAAGCCGTGCTGTGTCATAATTGAGATGATTATGGCTTTCAGATCATGAAAACCCCAAATCCATAATCTCAGAAAATTAGAATATTGTGAAAAGGTTCAGTATTCTAGGCTAATCAGCTAATTAAGCCATAACACCTGCAAAGGGTTCCTGAGCCTTTAAATGGTCTCTCAGTCTTGTTCAGTAGGAATCACAATCATGGGAAAGACTGCTGACCTGACAGTTGTGCAGAAAACCATCATTGATACCCTCCATAAGGAGGGAAAGCCTCAAAAGGTAATTGCAAAAGAAGTTGGATGTTCCCAAAGTGCTGTATCAAAGCACATTAACAGAAAGTTATGTGGAAGGGAAAAAGGTGCACAAGCAGCAGGGATGATCGCAGCCTGGAGAGGATTGTCAGGAAAAGGCCATTCAAAAGTGTTGGGGACTTTCACGAGGAGTGGAGTGAGGCTGGAGTCATTGCATCAAGAGCCACCACACACAGACGGATCCTGGACATGGGCTTCAAATGTCGTATTCCTCTTGTCAAGCCGCTCCTGAACAACAAACGTCAGAAGCGTCTTACCTGGGCTAAAGAAAAACAGAAGTGGTCTGTTGCTCAGTGGTCCAAAGTCCTCTGTTCTGATGAGAACAACTTTTGCATCTCATTTGTAAACCAAGGACCCAGAGTCTGGGGGAAGAACGGAGAGGCACACACTGCAAGATGCTTGAAGTCCAGTGTGAAGTTTCCACAGTCTGTGTTGATTTGGGGAGCCATGTCATCTGCTGGTGTTGATCCATTGTGCTTCATTAAGTCCAGGGTCAAGCAGCCGTCTACCAGGAGATTTTGGAGCACTTCATGCTTCCTTCCGCAGAAGAGCTTTATGCGGATACTTCATTTTCCATCAGGACTTGGCACCTGCCCACACTGCCAAAAGCACCAAAACCTGCTTCAATGAGTGTGGGATTACTGTGCTTGATTGGCCAGCAAACTCGCCTGGCCTGAATCCCATAGAGAATCTATGGGGCATTGCCAAGAGAAAGATGAGAGACATGAGACTGAACAATGCAGAAGAGCTGAAGGCTGCTATTGAAGCATCCTAGTCTTCCATAACACCTCAGCGGTGCCACAGGCTGATAGCTTCCATGCCACACCGCATTGAGGCAGTAATTGCTGCAAAAGGGGCCCAAACCAAGTCCTGAGTACATACGCATGCTTATACTTTTCAGAGGTCCGATATTGTTCTATGTACAATCCTTGTTTTATTGATTGCATGTCATATTCTAATTTTCTGAGATTGTGGAATTGGGGTTTTCATGAGCTGTAAGCCATAATCATCACAATGGTGACAAATCATGGTTTGAACTATCTTGCTTTGCATGTAATGAGTCTATCTCATATATTAGTTTCACCTTTTACTTGAAATAAATGAACTTTTGCATAATATTCTAATTTTTTGAGTTTCACCTGTAGATAATAAAGTCATATTGAATAGATTAATGACCACCTTCGCTCTATCAATTCTTATGTTGGTACTGACAATCTATATTGCCATGTAAGATTGTCATGCTTTTAAAATGCAAAGAAGCACACAAATATAAAAATAAAAAAACTTTAGTCTGAGTTTCTTGCCTTCACTTAATTATATTCTCTACTCCCTCCATTCCTACATTTAACAGAACACATTTTTCATGAAATCTCAAAAGTGGAAAATTTATTTATTTATAACACAGGCAGTTGTGGTCCCAAGAAGAACACGGTTCTTATCTGATGCTGTCCCTTTTTCTGATTTCCTGACTGATAGCTTTGGACGCCAGCATAACTACTTGAGAATCTCTCTAACTGAGAAATGCAACCTCAGATGTAAGTCTTTCTACTCTAAATATAAGTTAAATTATAAAATGCAAAGTTCTGTTTTCGTAATGTCTTATTTCTGGACCAATGTTTAACAAGAGTCAGAATGACTTATTTGCAGAATGCCACACACACTGCGATCCCAAAACTAAATTTGTTTCATTGATGCTGTTTCCCATGATATGGAAACTGTTCAGAACAATATCTTATAGAACATTATTTTCCTGAATAATTAGATTGTGAAATTATAAACAAAAATGGAGGAAACAAAAGAGCGGATGTGTTAAAACACATTCTAGTCCAACTTGTTTGGGTAACATATCTTCTTTCCCCTGGAGCAGTTGGAAACCTGAAACAGTAAACCCTTATCACTTTCATTACAAGGCCCTAATTAATTTTTATGATATAACTAACTTGGAACTATAGTCCGATGTGCCAGATGTATGTAATGAAGTTAGTTGCTAATTCATAAAAGTTACTGCAGTGTTTCCTATCTGGGAGCCGTAGAAAAGTGCTAAATTTAAGGTGCCAGAATTCTCAGCAATGGCCATGCTTTCTGTAGAATTCTTGTAAAACTGAAGTCTTCACATCTCAAGATACCAGGAACTAGTTTCTTCCTGGGACTGTAGCATATAAGGTGCCTACCTATAGGATATTGTGATATGTAGGTATTTTTTCATTCATTCACTCTCTGTGGGTGTTTTTTTTTTTTTTTTTTTGATAGCTCAAGGGAGAAAAATGTACATTAAAAAAAATGAGAATATAAAATATTGTAACCTCCTTTGGAAATAGTTTGCTTCTAATTCAGTAATTTAAAAACAGACATGTCTTAAAATTCTTGACTGCATGTTTCAGGTCAGTATTGTATGCCAGAGGAAGGAGTTCAGCTAACTCCCAAATCCGAATTGTTGAGCACCCAGGAAATCATTACTCTTGCCCGGCTCTTTGTGAAGGAAGGCGTGGACAAGATCCGTCTGACTGGAGGAGAGCCTCTTATCCGGCCTGATGTGGTGGACATCATAGGTACACTTGTTATAGATGCTATAGATACCAAAAGCTGCGGTGATGCAGTGGTTAGAATGCAGTACTGCAGCTAATTCTGCTGACTGCAGGCTGCGAACAGTTTGGCAGTTTGATTCACATCGGCTGAAGGTTGACTCAACCGTCCATCCTTCCGAGATCGGTAAAACGAGGACACAGACTGTTAGGGGCAATATGCTGACTCTATAAATTGCTTAGAGAGGGCTAAAAAGCACTGTGAAGTGGTATACACTCTAAGCTTAAATGTTATTGCTGTTGCTATATGTCACAATCCTGGCCTATGATCAAAATTGATTGATTGATTGATTGACTTTATGTCTCACTATAGGAGAATGTTACAGTTAATATTTTGAGAATTCAAAATATTAGGTTTGCTCTGCTGTACAAAAATATATAATATCAATGTGCATCTTGTGATCTCTGGAATACCATATATACTTGCAAATAAGCCAAGAATTTTAGGTGACAAAATGCATCTAAAAGATCAGGTTCCGATTGTCCATAGATGGGCTTATCCAACATTAGCAATAGCATTTAGACTTATATATGCTCCATAATGCTTTTTACAGAGAAAATATGTTGCTCCCAATAATTTGGGTCCTCATTTTACTGACATTGGAAGGATGGAAAGCTGATTCAACCTTGAGCTGGTCAGGATCAAACACCTGGCTGTGGATACTGTTAACCTGCAATACTGCATTCTAACCACTGGTTACCACAACTATTATATACCATAAAGAGTTCCAATATTTACTTACAGATAGGCAGACCTTCTCATTTTTAACTAAAATATCATTAAGAATGCTAGTCATCAATGGATTACAGTAAAAAGGTACTTTCCTGGAAAGGAGGGAGTGGGAGTGGGAGAGAGAGAAAGAGAGAGAGAGAGAGAGATGGCTTATCCACAGAAGGGCCTACATGTGAATATATGTAGTATATTAATATCTTCATCTTAAGGATAATGGTGCAAATTAAGTTAGTTTCTTAACAAAAAAATTGTCAAATTTAGAGAAATAGATACAGATTTCCATAAACACATATAGGAAGCCCAAATGGGATGCTCCAAATCCTATGCTATTATACTTAATTACAGTATGTGTCATGTTTTTTTTTTCTCTTCCTTATAATTATTTACCCAATCTTCAGTTTAACACAGTTAGTAATCTTTCGTCATCACTTTGTTTATTCAGCTCAATTACGCAAATTAGAAGGGTTGAAAACCATCTCTGTCACAACGAATGGGATCAATTTAGCCAGACTGTTACCCCGGCTAAAAGAGGCTGGCTTGGATGCCATTAATATCAGCTTGGACACTCTGATTCCAGCTAAATTCGAATTCATTGTCCGTCGAAAAGGTATTTTGAAATCTTCTACAATAACTTGTTTAATATTACTGTGCCCTCTATGGAATTTACCGTATGATAGGGAGTAAAGAGCTCAGAACTAATCAGAGAGCATGCATTTTCAATAGCTAGTTAATAATTTGATCTCAAATTTCAAGTTTTTTTTTAATTACTGCTCAGGATCTTGAGATGAATATATATCTCTGTATGGCATGATATATAATTATTTAATATATTGATATTTAAAGCTGTGCAATACTTTTGATTTGATTTTGAAAAAAAGGTATATAAGAGCATGACTACAGAACCTATCTGCAACTCTTTAAAACAGCTATATCTTTTCCCATTTTCAGCTATTTGTGAAATATACACATTTATTTCTGAGCAGCACTGAACATGACTTCTCAAATGCCATGGTTTCATGATTGCTTAAAAAAAATTAATGAATTTGCATAATGTCTTCCATGAAATATTTATCTGGGGATTATATTGGGGAAAACATGTAAGACTGCCACTTACTTTTCATATGCAAATTTTAATCTACATAAAAAACAAAAAACAATACAACCTTAAAACATTTAAAAATAAAACAATTTCATTGGACATACACTCAAAATCAAAAACATTTTAGTAAGAAGAAAGAGTTTACTTTTGCATAATTCCTAAAAGCCATAAAATCAGAATTTTATCTTCAAGACAGTACTTTTGTATTTTGTTCTGCATTACTTTTGGTCATTATTTGTTTTTTATAGCAACAACTGCAGAAAATTGTAAGTTACATGAACAGGATGTCCTATATTGAACCATTGTTTTCATAATCTTCTTGGTTAAGTTCATAGTAACATATTTTGCACACTAATCCAAATTTCAGAAAGTCATTGTCAGGAATGTTTTTTTTCAAAGAAGCATCAGAAGAAGTTATCAGCAAATGTACTCCTAGCTGGTTTAGCACTCATTAAAATAACAAGTATAAATATTGAACTATATTAACATATATGGTTCTATAGATACCCCAAACGCCATCACTCTGCTAAACAAATAATTCCCTCAACACTGTCAAACTATTTACTAAGTCTGCACTACTATTACTATTAAACTTCTCATCATTCCTTATTACCATCCTCTCCCACTTGTGACTGTATGACTGTAATTTTGTCGCTTGTATCCTTACAATTTATATTGACTGTTTCTTAGTATGATTTGATTGCTTATTGTACGCTATGACTATTAAGTGTTGTACCTTATGATTCTTGACTCTTGACTAATGTATCTTTTCTTTTATGTACACTGAGAGCATATGCACCAAGACAAATTCCTTGTGTGTCCAATCACACTTGGCCAATAAAGAATTCTATTTATTTATTTTTATTTTATTTATTTGATTTGTCAATTGCTTACAAGATAATAGGTATAAGTATAAACATAGTTATGAATACATGGATACACATAAGAAAATAAAAGAAACAATAGGACAGGGACAGTAGGCACTTTGGTGCACTTATGTATGCCCCCTACAGACCTCTTAGGAAAGAGTAGACAATCTAAGGTTAAAGTTTTGGGGGTTTGGGGAAGAAACCACAGAGTCAAGTAGAGTATTCCAGACATTGACCACTCTGTTGCTGAAGTCGTATTTCCTGCAATCAAGTTTGGTGCGGTTAACCATGAGTTTGTATCTATTGTGTGCTCTTGTATTGTTATGGTTGAAGCTGAAGTATTCATTGACAGGTAGGACATTGCAATGTATGATTTTATATACTATATTTAGATCAGACCGAACGCGGCATAGTTCTAGGTTTTCTAGGTCTAGAGTTTCAAGTCTGGTGGCATAAGGTATTCTGTAATGAGTAGAGGAGCGGAGAACTCTTCTTGTGAAATATTTCTGGACTTTCTCTACTGTGTCAATATTAGATACGTAATGTGGGTTCCAGACTGATGAGCTGTATTCAAGTATTGGTCTAGCAAATGTTTTGTATGCTCTAGTTAGTAGTGTGATATTACCAGAGAAAAAGCTACATAGGATTAGGTTAACAACTCTTAATGCCTTTTTGGCTATGTAGTTACAGTGGGCTCTAGCACTTAGATCATTAGAGATGAGTACTCCAAGGTCCTTGACAGAGTTTAGATCATCAACAAGGTCTTGACTATTCAGCTTGTATTTTATTTTCTGATTTTTTTTGCCAATGTGTAGGACAGAACATTTATTTGTTGAGATTTGAAGTGGCCATTTGTTTGACAATTCTGATACATAGTCGAGGTCTTTTTGAAGGGTAGCAGAATTATCTGTGGTGTTGAATAGCTTTACATCATCAGTGAAGAGAACACAATTGCTCTTAATATGATCATAGAAGTCATTTATGTAGAGTATGAAGAGAGTTGGTCCTAGAACACTGCCTTGAGGGACACCACTGTTGACAGGTACAGAATTTGATAGGATGTTCCCAATTTTGACCATTTGTTGTCTGTTTGACAGGAATGCTTCTATCCAGTTATGCAGGTGTCCAGAGATTCCATAAGATTTTAGTTTTAGGAGTAGTTTGTCGTATACCACTGAATCAAAGGCTTTACAGAAGTCTATGTAGATTGTGTCTATTGTTTTGCCCTGATTGAGTTGTGTAGTCCATATGTTTTGCAGTGTAAGAGTTGCAGGTTACAGGATAGTTTTTTTCTGAAATCAAATTGATTATTACAGAGTAGGTTGTTTGTCTCTAAGTGAAGGATAATGGATTGGTTAATAATTGATTCCATGACTTTACAGGTGATGCAGCATAAAGAGATTGGTCTGTAATTTTCAACTAGGCTGGAGTCTCCCTTTTTGAAGATGGGGATGGCCGTGGCTAGTGACCATAGGTTTGCCAAGGAGCTGGTCCTGAAAGATTTGTCAAAGATTAAGCTTAGAGGTTCAGTTATGGCAGTGGATAGCTTTTTTAAGAAGTAGGCACATATTCCGTCTGGTCCAATAGATAGAGATGGTTTTAGATTGCGTAGTGCTTTTTCAACATTGTCTTCTGTAAAATCAATATTTATTAGATCATTGTAGTTGTCTGCGGTTCGACTAGGAAATACTAGGCATTGCTGTTTACAAATTCTATTCTATTCTATTCTATTCTATTCTATTCTATTCTATTCTATTCTATTCTATTCTATTC